CATGTAGCCCTTGATCATCTTGGCAGCCCTCCAGGGGTCCTCACTAGACAGATAAACAAATGGTTAGGGTGCTGGTGGAAGATGTCTGGGGAGAAATATTCCCTTTCTATGGGTTTTACCTAAACTCTGTGCAAAACCCTGATCTTCACCTATTTCTTCACCTGTCCAAGCTACATCCTTGGGAAAGAGGTGAGGCCAAAATAGAACCTATATCGTACTATATGAGAGCTCCTATATAGTACACTCCATCCCTTTCTTCTGCGATTAGGAGGGGGAAGATGAAGACGACTTCCTGTCTTCAGGAATGGGGAAGCACGGCCAGCACTCGTTAGGCAGAAAGAAAAGATCCTATTTTATTTTGGTTTCCTTCATTTGCCAGGAATGTGAGAGACCTAAAAGACAAGAGCCCCATTAGAAAGTGGAGATGCCACTGGCTTGGGGCTGGGCAGACCGATCCTACCAGGATAGGGGGTAGCATCAGTTTCTCAACTTACCTAGACCTCTCCCACATTATTTTCCTTCTGAATGGTGTCTCAGTTTATTGTCTTATAAAATAGGAGTAAAACATATATGTCCACCTCCTGAGATGCAAGGAGGACTTCTTCGCCAGATAGTAAATGGTTTTCCAATTTTTTGAAAAGTTTTAAGAAGTAAAATAACGTTCTCCCTGGGACTGAAAAATCACTCCATTGAGGCAAACAGGTAAAGTTAAAAAATAAATTTCACCACAGCCACGCCTACCAAATAAAACCTAATGGGGACAAATAAATAATTTTGATTTCTGAATAAGATATTACCTATCCCCAATGCCTTGTTTTCCTGTATTCCTACGTTTCTGCCCTAACAGGGTAAGAATATCTGAAAGGCAAATTTTCTCCTAAATTCCAAGCTTCAAAATATAAGAACTTGCTTATATTTTTTATTTCTCATAAACAGTGAGAAATGGGGTGCAAAAGGCTTCTTTAAAACAATGAGTTGATGCCTTTGAATTTTATTTATTCAAAATAGTTTCAGTTTTGTCAATATCTTTTCTTGCTTGTTGAATAGGTGACTTAAAACTGAGATATCATTTAAAACAATTAAATAATGTACAGTATAGAAAAAAGTGTTAAAGAAGCAATATATCCACATACACTATTTAATGCAGCTACATATTTAATTTTAAAAAATCAACATCCCTTTACTGTACGTTGATATATATAGTAGCCTGATAGAACATGAAAAAAAATGAAAAGAAAAATTAGTTTCAGATAAAACAATAAAAAACGGTGTAAAGTAGAGATCAAAACAGATATGGTGTTGCAGATTAAATAACCAATTTGTTTCTAAATGGTGCCTATAATATGTCAAATAAAGTAAATTTTGTTTAATGAATTAAAAATCTAGTAATTAAATTGGTATCGTTTGTAAGCATTCGAACAGGTTATTTTAGCAGTTCTTTGATATTAAATTCGAGAGAACAGATGTTTTTGAGAAATGCATGCTTTTAAGATTAAATATAAGTTAATGAATTTCTCAAAAATTAAAAAGGTTGCTTCCAACTAATACAACATAATAAAGTAACAACAAGGACAAAAAGAAATGAGAAAATGCAAGTACAGTTTCAAACATGGAGAATTCACCTCCAGTACGAGAAAAAGAATGTAACATTTTGGACATACGTGTATCAGAGATAATTTTAAAGCTTATTTCTGTTGAGTATTTCCACAGATATTTTTGGGGTAGAAAAACACTTTCAGCAGATAGGAATAATAATGGCCAAAGTTAGAAAAAGCATTTGCTTCCGTTAATATCGCTTTAACAGATTCTTTGGTTATTGTTGTTTTGCTTAAATTTCTTTACCTGTGTTAACTTTGTGTGTCTAAGAAACCTAGCGAAAGAGTGTAATGTTCTAAGATCTAAAGGTTCTGTGGAAAGAGTCAATGAGCTCAACAACTGGGAAGGTTTAAAAAAACAAAAGCCCATGAAAACCCCATGAACTGCAGCAAACCTGTAAGCCGCACCGAAGGACTAGAGTCGGGGGTAAGATGGCGTAGTTACACCTTTACAGCTTTCTGCCCCCGGGATTTACAGATATTCACTGGGAAGAGCTCGGAGAACTGGTTCCTTTTTTAAAATTTGGAAATATTCCGGGTTCCTGCGCCCGGTAAGTCCACGGCTCCGGAGAAGCGCGCGCGGCCATTGT